TCTTTTCGTTGATACATAGTTGGCAATTGGATACTTTGTCCTCCTATCCTCAACATCTGGAGAATATCTGTTTGGCGGTTTGCCACGATTATGCCTGAAAGGTAAGGTGTAGCCAGCCAAAGTATCGTTAGAGCTTGAAGGAGTGGTAGGGGAGGTTACCTCAGGGATGCTTTCACATGCTTCTGGGATATCCTCAGGAGGTGGGCTTTCCGGTACTGGCGAAGTTGGGGTCTCTACTTCTTCTGCTGGTAGAGGTGATGCCGACGTTGAGGTTTTTGTAGATACTTCTAGTGTAGTCTCTGTAGGTGCCTTACTGGTTGCTTCATGGACCACCATTTCCGTTGAAGCACTCGTATTCGGCCAATCGGGTAAAAACCAGTTCTGTTCTTCACTTTGACTCTCCCCCTGAAAAGAAGAATTGGTTGTAGGTCGAGAGTAGATGGTTTCAGATTCCAGAAAGGTGACATCCATGGTAACATAGGTACGGTGGGTGACTGGGTCATAACATCGGTACCCTTTCTGCTGTAGCGCATACCCCAAGAATATACATCGAGCTGCCCGTGGATCCAGTTTTGTACGTTGATTTGGATGTAGATGCACGAACACCACACAGCCAAAAACTCGAGGTGGAATCATCAAAACAGAGGGCAATGAGACATGAGATGAAAGAGCTTGTAATGGTGTTTTAAACTACAAGACCCGTGAGGGCATTCGGTTAAGGAGGTGCACGGTGGTAGCAACAACATCAGCCCAATATCGGTTAGGTACATGTGCTCCAAGTAACAAGGCGCGGGCAGTTTCGAGTATGTGCCGGATCTTCCTTTCTGCAGTGCCATTCTGCTGTGGAGTTTGGGGGCATGAAGTCTCATGAAGTAATCCGAAAATAATCTTGGAACCGTTGATTCATGTATTCCCCGCCGTTATCAGACCGGAGTACCTGAATATGTGATTTGAACTGAGTCTTCACCATTATATGGAAGGATTGAAAGACAGTCAGCACTTCATCTTTGTGTTTCAGTAGATATAACCATGTCATGCGAGTGCAATCATCAACAAAGATTACAAACCATCGGAATCCAGAGACTGTAGTCACCGGGGATGGCCCCCACACGTCCGAGTGAATCAAAGCAAATGGAACTTGACTTTTATTCATACTTAAGGGATAGATTGTTCTATGACTCTTAGCTAGGATGCAAGTGTTACATTGAAAAACATGCGGCTGTATATCTGAAAATAACTCTGGAAATAAATGTCTCCTATAACTGAATGATAGATGTCCTAACCGGCGATGCCAAATCCAAATCTGTTGTTCCTTGGCATTCCCTTGATGATGTGTATGATGCGCTTGACCCGTGCTAAGATCATCCATGTAGTAGAGCCCCCCTCGCCTAATACCACGCCCAATTATCTCCTTGGTGAGAATATCCTGAAGAAGACARAAAGTGGGATAAATGAGCACAACACAATTCAGATAAGAGGAGATTTGACTAACAGATAGTAATTTGTGGGAGAGCGAGGGAACGAGCAAGGTGTTTTTCAAGGATATAGCAGGTGACAAGGTCACAGTGCCTGCTCCTGTGACTTGAGAAATTGCCCCATTGGCATTAGCAATTGTAGTCCGCCTTGGTGGTGAAGTCTTTGAAAAATCAGTAGCATCATAGGTCATGTGGTTAGTGGCTCCTGAGTCAAGTATCCATGCCTTGTTGTCAATGGTCTTGTTGGGAAGATTGTTACCTGAATCCGAGAGGTGAACTTCTCCCTGT